CTTAGAAGATCAGGATCATCATTGGGGAATAGTAGCCGCCACTCCTTTTCAGTTTCATTTGGCTTACCTACAGGAGTTAACATCCCTGATCCTGAACATGAAAATTCACAGCCTCAAGAAAAATCACCAGAAGTTCCACTCCGGCGCCTTGCTTCCCTCAACAAGCCAGAGATTCCAGTGCTTCTGATTGGATGTGTAGCTGCCATAGCAAATGGTACCATATTTCCGATATTTGGTGTGCTGCTATCCAGCGTTATCAAAACATTTTTTAAACCATTTCCTGAGATGAAAAAGGATTCCAAGTTTTGGGCAGTCATGTTTGTTATACTAGGACTTGGATCCTTACTAGCAATTCCAGCCCGAAGTTACTTTTTCGCTGTGGCTGGCAGTAAGTTAATCCGACGAATCAGGCTCATTAGTTTTGAGAAGGTGATCAACATGGAGGTTGGTTGGTTTGATGAGCCTGAGCACTCTAGTGGTGCAATTGGTGCTAGGCTCTCAGCAGATGCTGCATCAGTGCGTGCCCTTGTTGGTGATGCTTTAGGACTGTTGGTTCAAAATATAGCAACAGCATTGACAGGTTTGATTATTGCTTTCGTTGCGAGCTGGCAGTTGTCATTTATTCTTCTTGCCTTAGTTCCCCTCATCGGAATGAATGGTTATATTCAAATGAAATTCATGAAGGGAACTAGTGAAGATGCAAAAGTGAGCTTCTTCTCCATACCTATGCAAGTCTATTTAAGTAACTGCAGCATATATATTTTGCAACAGATTCTAAGTATTGTAATATAAATTCGTGCAGATGATGTATGAGGAAGCGAGCCAAGTTGCTAATGATGCAGTTGGAAGCATAAGAACAGTAGCTTCTTTCTGTGCTGAGGAGAAAGTTATGGAACTATACAGGAAGAAATGTGAAGGTCCAATGAATGCAGGGATACGACAAGGCTTGATAAGTGGAACAGGATTTGGGGTTTCATTTTTCTTGCTCTTTAGTGTGTATGCAACCAATTTCTATGCTGGAGCCAGATTTGTAGAAGCTGGCAAGGCATCATTCTCAGATGTTTTTCGGGTACTAATTACACTTTGATACTTGTTCAACATTAGTCATCAGCTTGGGGGGAAAAGTGAGGAAGTGTTACATTTTCTTCTTAAAATGTTTTGCAGGTTTTCTTTGCTTTAACTATGGCATCTATCGGAATTTCCCAATCAAGCTCCCTTGCTCCTGATTCTAACAAAGCCAAGATAGCCACTGCTTCCATATTTAGAATAATTGATAGGAAATCGAATATAGATCCAAGTGACGAGTCTGGTAGCACACTGGATAGCGTAAAGGGAGAAATAATGATTCGTCATGTAAGCTTTAAGTATCCATCTAGGCCAGACATACAAATTTTTCGAGACCTTAGCTTGACTATCCATTCAGGCAAGGTAAAGCTTAAGGATTTTATGTTTGTTGTCATTTTAAACTCCATTTTGCCTCACCATGCATTTGAAAATGCATGTTGCAACTAATGGTTCCAGCTTACAATCATGTTTGATGTTCCAGACTGTGGCCCTTGTTGGTGAAAGTGGGAGTGGGAAATCCACTGTGATTGCCTTGTTACAGAGATTTTATGATCCTGACTCAGGTCAAATTACACTTGATGGGATAGAAATTCAGAATTTACAGCTCAAGTGGTTAAGGCAGCAGATGGGACTTGTAAGCCAAGAGCCAGTTTTGTTCAATGACACCATCCGTGCCAATATTGCATATGGAAAGGAAGGCAATGCAACTGAAGCAGAAATCATAACTGCAGCAGAACTGGCCAATGCACATGGCTTTATTAGTGGCTTGCAACAGGTAAAAAGTAAAAAAACCACTGCCATGCATTTATTTTTTTCAGCCTCATTATGTCTTTGCAATAGTTTCATTTCAAGTGCTGTCTTCTTGAGAGAGCTTTCCACATAGGCAAATGTGATCAACATGTTGTTTGTCTTTTTCCTGTTATAGGGTTATGATACAGTAGTGGGAGAAAGGGGAATCCAACTATCTGGTGGGCAGAAGCAAAGGGTGGCCATTGCACGTGCTATAATTAAAAGTCCAAAGATACTGCTACTAGATGAGGCCACAAGTGCACTAGATGCTGAGTCAGAGAGAGTTGTTCAAGATGCATTAGATAAAGTGATGCTGAGCAGGACCACTGTGGTTGTGGCTCATCGTCTATCTACAATAAAAAATGCAGATGTGATTGCAGTGGTAAAAAATGGAGTTGTAGTGGAGAAAGGAAGGCACGAGACCCTCATTAACATCAAGGATGGATTTTATGCTTCCTTGGTCCAGCTTCATACAAGTGCTACAACAGCATAATAGTATCATAGAGTATATTTCTTTTTTTTCTTTTTTTTTCCGGGAAGAGTTTTATTTTCCCTATTTCCACTTAAGTGTTATTAATATCAATAAAAGGGCAATAATACTTCACCCATGCTTCCCTTTTCATACAAGAAAATCCATTCCTTTTCTTTCTTAGAGCATTTTCGGTGGGAGTTGCTCGGAGATGTTCTTAGTTGAGTTAATGAGTACAGATATGGATGGCCAAGGAGTGAAAAACGACGAAATTGTACACAAAACATATGAGCCTGTTGGAGATATAACAACTTTTACTAGTGAGTTGCATGACAAAGAACTGCATTATCAATGTCGTAAATGGCCTACCAAATGTGGTACTTTTTGGGTTCTTGGGTCATTGTTTTTGGGTTATAGCTATATTTATACGGAGAGGAGCTTATTTATTGTTAATTTTTCAGTTATTTAGGGTATTTTTTAATAAAATTTTATTTAGGGTTTGCACACAGTATTACAATAATAAGATATATTCAGTTATTTATTTTTTATTAAATAAATAATAAAAAGTTATTTAAAATATTTGTACACACATCACTACAATAGTAAAATATTGTTTATTTGTTTTTTTTTAATTATCATCTAAAAAAATTTTTACCAATGAAGTATTATATTTTATAAACTCTTATTTTCTCTCATATTTTAACAATGTGTAACCTTGTTTATATTCCAAAATGTAACTCATTACTAGTCATTATATAATCTGGTTTCAATACTTATGACGTACAGAAAATGTTCATTTAAAGAATAAAAACTGTTTGATCAAGAAAAAGAGAGAATGAATAGAAAATGGATCTAGCATATAAGAAAAAGAGAGAAAACTTACATTTCGTTTTTGTTAATTCTTACATGATTTTGGTCTAATCACCCATGTTTTTGTTTCTGTTTTCTCTTTTTTATATATTCTTTAGTGTGTTGCAATTGATTAGTAAGCTCTTAGGTGCTAACCTTATTGGAATGTTTTTATCTTATAATGATGTTTAACACGCTAAATATATAAAATAAAATAATGAAAAATAACAAGATTATCCTAATGAAAAGTAATTGGTTGTTAAAAGCTTACTTCGTTTTAGATTCTGAAGTTTCCAAAATCAAGTTTAGACTATTTGAATCAATTCTAAGCATCACGAGTATGCTTGACAGGTATAATGAGTTAATTTTTAAATTTTTTTATTAAATTTAAATATGTTTTTAGTCCCTATAAAATTGATGATTTTGATTTTGATCTGTCTAAATTTTTTATTTTATTTTTCATCCTTCTAAAATTTATAAACATTGTTTTTGCTTCTTATAAAATAAGTATATTAATTTTGATCCTGTAAAATATTTTTCTTTCATTTTTTTTTTCTAAAATTTAAATTAACTATTTTTAATTCCTAATAATCATTTTAAGGTGGATAAATAATATTTATTTTAAAGACTTATAAAATTTTTTTGAGGTGTTAAGTATCAATATAATATCAGTAATGATTATAAGTAACACTTAAGATAGTTACTTAACTTTTTAATAAATAAAAAATAGTTAAAAAATGATTACATAAAAATAGAGACTAAAAATAACAGTTTTAATTTTATAAGGATGAAAAACATAGAAAAAAATTTTATGGACTAAAATCAAAACTTGTTAATTTTATAGGGACTAAAAATATATTTAAACATTTTTATTATTTATAAGTTTGATTGGTAAACAAGCTTATTTCATTTGTTCATAACTTATAAATTACAACCTACTTTGGTTAGTTTATAGCTTATAACAGTTAAATTCTGGCAGATATGTTCGTATCTTAATTTTGCTTAACTCAATACTGTTTGATCCATGTGAGTTAGCCTATAATGGGTTATGCTAGTGTGCTAGCTCAATATATTTTCTTTTAATCATTCTTACCCTTATCTATATAGTCTAAATATTTACTACGGTTTAAATATGCATGCTAACAATAATAAAAATGTGATAGAAGATGATAATAATAATAAGCAAAAGACTTAAGATAGAAGATATTTGTTATAAAATTTATATAACTAATATGAATTATATTAAGATAGTTAATATTAAATAAAATATTAAAATAAAATTTCATATCATTTTCCTTCTTTCATCCATCATCTATCAAACAATATAGAAGAGAAAAAAGTATTCTATAATTTAAGCATTTATTTTATATTACACCTTACTATTTATGATACACACCATTAAAAGTACCAATATTTAAAGTTAAGACAATACCGCAAATAGAGATGATTAACATTCATCAAGTTTTTTCTAGTAAGATGAGTCGGGATAAACTTAATTTCTTTTCTCATCCCCGAACTTCAAGTTTTTTTTTTCTAAGCTTTTACTAGTCATGAGTCAGGATAAACCATTATTTCTTCTCTTTTTTAGACAAATTAATTTTCTTGAGAAATTGGACGCCTTTTTAGCTTTTATGAATGTAAACGCCCATAATTTATTTCAAAAGAAAATTTCTATACTCTAATCAATGTTCATTTTTTGTGCCACGAAATAAGGGATGCAGCAGGTACGTAATTCCTAGGTGATTGCGATACCATTTAGGCTTTCGGTGCCACCCTAGACGTGGCGGTTTCCGCCGTACTGAATATATGCAAAAAGGTGCATGAGAGCTATAAAAAGGAAAATAAAGGCCCCATGAAAAAAAGTTAGGGAAATCATGAAACTTGTCAAAATTAATATATATCAAACTACAAGTCATCATCACTCTCGTCACTGTATGAAACTAGGCCAGTTAGGGCAACTCCACGCGACTTATCAGCTTCACCATTTAATGACTGAACTGATTCTAATGACTTACTCTCATCATTCACAGGAGTGCTTCCTGCTTTTGAAATTTCCCCAGAATTTCCTTCATCCACCTTGGCTTTTTTAGCTTGGTGCTTGACTTTTATAATCATGCCTAAGGGCCGAGAGGCTGGATTCCTCTTTCCGGCAGACTTTTGTTCCTGCGACAGAAAACAGGGCGGTCAAAACATGAAAATTGCAACAGATGCAACACAAATGATTTCTTAATTAAAACTGCAAGCAATGTTGCAATAACTAATAAAAGTGACAAAATAAATAAGGCTTAATTGCACCTTCATAAAATTTAACGCATCAAATTTACCTTTATAAGAAACTCCATTGACATTAATTTCTTTCTTTTTTAAAACTCTCATTAATTTTTTTGACTCGAATTTTTCTCAAGTTAAATTGATTAAATCATTTTAAACTTTCTCTCCCTCAAAGTTCACCAAGGGAAATATCAAAATTCACTCAAAATTATATAAATAAATAAATAAATAATTCCTCCTCTTCAAACCCCAATCGCATACCTTATCACATTTCCACTAAATTTCTAACTTCTAACTTTTAAATTATTTCATATCCCTATTCCATTATAAGTTTCTATCTATTTTGAATAGAAATTAAGAATGTAGACGAAAGTTGACCAGAGAATTAGATGTATATAACTTTACAATAGAGGGACTTGATTTGCTCACAAAAATAAAAACTTTAAAGACCACAATTGCACAAAGGATAAATTAGTGGGACCACAGGTGAAATTAAATCAATAAATAATATTATTGAGCAGTCTACGGGATAAATTAGAGGTTCTAATCTAGTTACCATGTAATATCAGAAAACAGCCTTCAGTCATGAGATTTTAAAACCACCAAAAATAATTGCTCATATAAACTTCAAATTTCAGAAAAGAGAAATACAGGAAGGACAATAACTAAAGGCACACATTGATATGAATGTCAAATTGATGACAGAGGCCAACCCCTTCTAAGTAGTCTAGGCTTCAAAGATCATATTCACCATTCTATAGACCTCAATATTGACCTATTATGTACAAATTTATTGTAGGAATCAGGAAATCAGTTGCAACACTATTGTGTGGAAATGAAACCATTATTAAATCAAACACTCACAAAAAATGGTAGCAACACATAAAAGTGACCAACCAACCTGGACAACAGGTAAAGGGTTTTTTTCCTTAACTTCATGCACGATGTTGGACTGTGCTGCCACCGCTGCCTGAAATCAACATACAAGAGCAATATAGTTAGTTAGAAATATTATTGACCAAAAAATGGACACATGATGATAAATACACTTCAGTAATGGCAAGTCCAAAGTACTCCAAGATAAAATCAAACAAAAATTACAAGGAAATATAATTTTTATTTAAATAAAGCAATTTATGATACAGTAAATTTTATGACTTAACTTGAAAGCTTCGGATTTGTTGAGCTTCTGCATCTGCCACTTGTCGTTCATACTCCCTTCTCGACTGAAAGGTGGATAAAAAATAATATTAGAAAGAAGAACAAGCACTTGAATAAACTTTGCATTGAACAATTTGCTCAAGCATTTTTTGTTGTCTATTATGTTAAATGTCATCAAATTGTTTCCAAACAATATAAGATAGCTGTCTCGTCTAGAGTCTCTACAAGTACAACCATTGAAGCAAAGAACATGTCTTAAATTCTATGGTTTACAATTCCATGAAACAAGCTACTGTTAAGAGAGAACTAGAACTCACCGCTTCATAACTATCTAGAAACTCAGTCTCATCTTCGTCTAAAGCTTTAGGTGGTCCTGAAATAATTATAAACAGGTCAAAATTCAATCCGGAATACCAAAAAGACAACCATATAGAATAGTAGGAAAAAAAAACTGTCTGAACGTAAGTCGAACAATTATCATAAACCATGCCTGCCTCAAAAGGGCCAACACAAAGTAAACATGAAAGAATTAACATATTCAGCCTTACAAGCTGCCTTGGCAGTTGATATTGCAACACACTATCACATTCAATTACTGTAAAAACTAAAAACAAGAAGTTCCGTGGTACTCCGAAGTTGGAGGAAAAAAATATCACGGTTATGCTAAAAGCTGGTTGAATACTCACTGTGCTTGAACCTTTCATTAAATTCTGCATCCTTTTTGTCCTTATTCTCCTTTAGAATCTGCACATGGAAGCTTCATGAGTAAGTAATTTCAACTCTACGTATCCGTAGTTCCTGAGAATTACAATGCAAATTTTGCGTTACAAGAAATGAGAAAACAAACCTCGAAGAGAGGTCTATCCCTCTGGGCAGTACCGTCCTCAACTCGTTCACCTCTTGCTTTTTTGGCTTCAACCAACTGGCCAAACACAATAAATTGCAAAAAATAACGAATCGCTGACGAAACCCTAATTTATTGTGCATAATTAATGGATTCGAGAATGAAGTGCGAATTAGAGACTGAGAGAGTTTGTTTACTTGCTCTTCGGAGACGAAGTTCATAATCCGGACAGGAGGATCCGCATTTTCGTCCATGGCTTCAAGTTTTGAGAACTGCAACTGAAATTGCAACCGAATTTCGATTCCGAAAAGACAAGGAAAAATGAGACAGTAGCGGAACAACGATGGTGAAGCGTTTGGGCCGTTCTATTTCATTATAATGGGTCCTATCCAACTTCAATTTTTTTTTTGTTAGAATAAAGAATTGAGTTAATTTTCATATATATATATATATATATATATATATATATATACATATATATATATAAATTATATTATCAATAAATTAGAAATTATCTCTAAAAAATTCAATAAATTAGAAATTATTTTAGATACAACTTCAAAATTAATTAGGTTTGATTATACTTATTCTCTTTAGTATTTCACAAATTTTTCTCGCAAATAATTTGCCCTCAAATTATAAAATATCTCAAATTTTGTCTCACATAGAAAAATTAAAAAAAAATAATTCTTTATTCTTGAATTTTCTATGTGAGCAAAATTTATGACATTTTATAAACTGAAGGATAAAAAATTGCAAATTATAAAATTTTAGAGAGAAAGTGAAATTAAGCCAATTAACTATTATAAAATTTAATAAATTTAAAATATTTGATAGTTTTTTAATTAAATTATAATGTAAAAATTTGTTTATATTAATAGGCATTGGTTTAAGATTCAAAAATTTAATTATAATTGAATCATCGTCAAATTAATAATAATAATAATAATAATAATAATAATAAAATTATAATAAGTAATATAATAAATAATATGAAAAAAAATAATATCTTAATTTCATAGCCTTGAAATTAAGAATAAAATATCGTTGTATAAATTCTTAATATTTGAATTTTGAAGTCCATATAAATCTCCACGTCAAATTATATATGCCTAAGTTTTACCCATACAAAGCATGTTTATTTACCGTAACAAGTTTACATCAATAATCAAAAAGGAAATGACACCGGAATAACTAAGCATTTTTTACTGTCCCATTGCGAATCAGATTTTAATCCTTGATCATTTTTTTTTCTCAAAACAAGTTTAGTGATTTATTTGGATCATCCATGAAATTAGTCGTTGATTTTTCAGGTCAAAACAGTTTTTCTATTCCAATTTCCAGAACACCGCTTTTAAAAGAAGACAAAGAGTAGAAGAAAAAGTTGGAGAAAGAAAAAATACAATAAATATGATTAATAATATAATAAGAAAAAAAGAAAAAAAAATGTAAACTAATAGTAAAATTGAGATATACCAAAATAAATTTTGATTTGAAATATTTATCCTTTATTTCATTTGAGAACAAAAATATGAATTTATATATTAAAAAATGTTTTCATATCAATATTTTGTAAGAAAAAAATATTACTCAAAAGTCTGCACTCTGAACTTACTAAACAATTTTTTCTTATCAGAAAAAGAAAAACACCATTTTTTATCCCTCGTAATATCTCTTTTACCCAATGAATGAAGGATTATTTTCCACACCAAACACAAAGTGCTTCTGCTGAGTAATATTTTTCGTACATATAAATTGTATAATTATATGATTGAAGGATATGAACTTTTATTCAAATCATCCCACGTTGACAGTTATCAGTTTTGGGGTACAAGGCTGGTTATATTTTATTTTTTTATTCATCAAAATTTTTAATTTAACATCATATACATACTATCTTAACCATTATTACTAAGATGATCTTAGTGGTTCACAAGATTGGTTATTTACCAGTGATAATAACAATATTTATAATTGCTACAAGTTTTTAGGATGACCTTTTAACCACCAGAACAGTCACTTTGCTAACCATTTGGAACATGGCAAGCTTCCCACGATTCTGAGCTCCAAGCTTCTTATCATTCATCGGACTCACATATCTGTAACATGTTGCTCTTACTTCATTGTCTTCGTCATATATTCTACACTGCTCCATCAATATAGAAAACTAATGAATCTCTTGATAATTAACGCATTACACAGTCTCATGTCGCAAGTTATTGATAAATTTGTTGTACTTTAATTACTCCCTCATCCATGGTTGTAATTAATGAAACAAGTACCTTGAAAGCTCCTCAAACTTGGCTGCACAGTTAACAAGCGACAAACTTTGTTATCACGTTGTGTTCAAGGAATCAAGGATTTGTTGGAAATTTTATATCAAAGGGGCAAATCAAAATATGGTGAAAAAAAAAAAAAACTCATATCGATATAAATGAAAAATGCCTTTAGAATTTATTTTTCTTATCGTATACATACTAACAACTTTATTTTTCACATAACGAATGACTTGATTAATTTTGTTTTAGAAAATAATATTCACGAAATCATTCTTCTCAACTAATATTAATTATATGTACAATTTTTATCTAGCATCCTAATCTTCATATATGTAAACAAAATTATTATCAAAAAAGAAATTCAATGAAAATGATCGCACAAAATAATTGAGAAAAAAGATCATATAAATCAACGAAAAAAGTATTCAAAATAAAAGACCACGCAATATTTTTTTTTTACAATGGGTCCTATTCGTATATAATAATTGGATGAAAAATTCAAAGTTTAATTAGCAATGCAATAATTTAAAGAGTTAATCATCTATACACTGCCAGTGTAAAATTTTTTACATTGGCAACCAATCATATTTTTTAAAGTTGCTTATTTTATTATTATTTCATTAAATAAACAACTGACATGATACTATTAAAATATATGATTGGTTGCCCGTGTAAAAAAATTTTATACTGGCAGTGTATAGGTGGTTAACTCTAATTTAAATACACAAACATTATTTTAAAATTTAAATATTACATCATAATTTTCTGTTCTCAATTGAAGCATAAATTTTTATTAAGTGATGAGGGTGTGATTTTGAATCTTTGATGGATATATATATAAAATATAAGTAATTATGAAATATTAATGATTTTAATTTAAATAAAGAATGCGCGAGATTTGATTCCATGTTTCACTATAACTCTTTTGACATTTGAAACACATTTTAATGTTGTTTAATTTGATTTTTAAAAATTTTTGTTTTAATTTTATAGAGGACATAGTGAAAACTACAAATATTACTTTATTTTTAAATGTACCTTTTGTTGTCTTCGAAAAAAAATGCAAAATTGAAGAGAAGTTGATGATTTAACATTGTCCTTAATAATTAGAAAACGCAAAAACATTGTCTTATGATTCCAATATTTAAAATTATCTATATTGTAAAAAGGCACGCATTTGATTTCAGGCTTGATTGGTATATGTTGCATGTAACTAATTAATTATCTGTTAGTTCAACGCTTTAGAGGTTGACAAATGATATTATGTTGGTGGTGTAGTTGTTGTATGCGAAGCAGAGGCTGAATGCGACGATGGTGGTGGAGGAGTTGAGCCTGGCGATGCAACCTAAGGAGAAGGTGGTGCGGAGGGAGGAAATAACGCGTATGGTGGTTGGTGAAGATATTGCTCCCAATGATGAAAGTGTTAAGAGGAATGGCGTGAGAGAGAAAGAGTGAAAGAGATGCAACTGAGTGGCTTGAATACTCTGTTCGAGGGTGGTTCGTTTTATGCCGCATCATTGATAAGTGTCTAATTAGTCTGATGAAATATAAATTTGAGACACTTATCTAGCACAATTTTTGTACAATATTGATATAATTTTGGCCTATATACTTAGAATCAAAGAGGAACTTTTAATTTACGTTATTACAGGGAGTGATAAGTCTTTTGATCAGATTTTGTGTTTGTTTTATAGGTTTTGATGTCTGGAGGCAAATGACTCAGCCCTTCCAAAGGGCTGAGCGCTTTCAAGCCAGAGAGCTTAATAAGTGTACCAGAGGAGAGGCGCTTAGCCGTCCCCAAGCGTTGAGCGGTTTTGGCCTTAGAAGAATGAGTACTTTCTGCCTCCTAGGCGCTCAGCGAATTTCAAGCGCTCAACCCCTTTGCTTGCTTAAAGATGAATGAGTCTCCCAGGCGCTCAGTTGTTAAAAAGGGCTCAGCCCTTCAGATTACTTCATGTTGAAGAATTCTCCAAACCGCTCAGTCGTTTCAAGGAACGACTGAGCGGTTCCTTCTCTTTCCTACCTACTCTATTTTAATTCCAGCACCTATAAAAGGGTAGAGGAGAGAGAAAACAGGGGATGAGAAGTTGCACGAAGAGAAGAACACAGAAGAGAAAGAAAACAGAGCACCTTGGAACTCGTGGAAACGCGGTTCTTCGGATGATCTTTTTCTTCTACCTTTCCTCTTGTTATTTTGTGCTTTCTTCTTTTATGGAGAGCTAAAGCTATAGAGTTGGGATTGATGTAGTCATCGAACTCCTGTGTATTCCTCTTTAGTTCATATATATATATATATATATATATATATATATATCATCTATTACTCAATGTCGGTGATTTGTATTCTGTTCTTAATGCTTTGATAAACTGATCATTTATCTTTGATCTCAGATTTAAAATTTGGTTGGAAAACGTTTTTTGAATCTAGACTTGGAACAAATCACCTATTAGTTTTGAAAGTCAATAATGATTTTGAAATTAATAGTTGTAATAAGTTTTGACTCTTAATGTAGGATATTTAACTGAATGAAGTGAAAAATCATTCATTAAGTTAAATATCTTAGAATTTCTTATGCCAAGGAATTGAGTCTTAATGAATATAGGGAACTCAATGACAATGAGTAATGAAATCATTTGAAATAATCAATAAGAATGCATAGGAGGGAGATTGATGAAATCTAATCCCAACTGTTTCTCATATCCGTTTTTCTTAAATTTAACTTGATTTTGGTTATTTAGTTTAATTTACCACTCACATCAAATATTTAACATGTGTGATCATTCAAGCTTTGAATTTACAAGTAACAATTAGCATAATAGAAATCAAAATCTACTTCACATGTCCCTGAGGAACGATAACCTTTTAACTATATTACAGAGACTTGGGTGCGCTTGCTCGAAAAACCAACATTATCGCATGCGGCAAAAACAATTAGAGGAGGGAAAAACTTGTTGCATGACGTTCTACATTTCGAAATCTCTCCTCTATCATGCATGAGTCACGATAAATTAAGCGTGGAAAATTTGATGTTTGTTACAACATTCTAATAGAGTAGGAGACTATGAGTGATTTTTTTCTTAATATTAAGAAG